GAAGGAATTGCTAGGTCACGGGTATATTCACCAGTACTAAGAGTTCCAGTTGCTCCACATCCTCACCAGTACCTGGCATTTTTATTTCTTCCATTTTAGTTATTATCGTGGGTACACGGTAGTAATGCATTAAGGTTTTAATCTGTATAGTTGTCCCTTGGTATCTGTGGTGAACTGGTTCCAGGAACTCTGATGGATACCAAAATCTGCATGCAGATGCCTAAGTCCTTGATATGAAATGTCCTAGTATTTGCATATAACCTACGTACATCCTACTGTATAATTTAAATCATTTCTAGATTATTTATAATACCTAATACAATGTTATGCAAAATACATAATGTAAATGCTATGCAAATTACTGCTATCCTGTATTGTTTAAGGAATAAGAAGAAGAAAAACAGATACAATTTTTTTTTTTTTTTTGAGACGGAGTCTTGCTCTGTCACCCAGGTTGGAGTGCAGTGGTGCAATCTTGGCTCACTGCAACCTCCGCCTCCCGGGTTCAAGCAATTCTCCTGCCTCAGCCTCCCAAGTAGCTGGGATTACAGGCACGCCACCACACCCAGCTAATTTTTGTATTTTTAGTAGAGACAGGGTCTCACCATGTTGGTCAAGCTGGCCTTGAACTCCTGACCTCAAATGATCCAGCAGTCTCAGCCTCCCAAAGTGTTGGGATTACAGGCGTGAGCCACTGTGCTGGGCCATTTTTCTTTTCCTAATATTTTTGATCTGTGATTGGTTGATGTAGAATCCATGGATACGGAGGGCTGGCTGTATTTTCCTGATGACTGAAGTTGAGCACTATTTCGTGAAGGCATAGTTTCAAAATGCATAAATCATGCCAGTTCCTTGCTTAAAACCCTTTGACGGCTCTCCATCTCATCAGCAGTAACACCCAAACCCCTTCCCATGGACCATAAGGCCCTGAACATTCTTGCCTTCACCCACCTTGTACACGCTCTTCCAGCCAGAGAAGAATCCTTCCATTCTTCCAACAAGCCAAACTTTTGTTCTTATCTCAGGGTCTTTGTTCTTGCTGTTCCCTCAGCCTGGCTGGCTCCTTCTTGTCATGCAGGTCTCATTACAAACACTGTTTCTCGGCCGGGCACGGTGGCTCACGCCCGTAATTCCAGCACTTTCAGAGGCCGAGGTGGGCAGATCACGAGGTCAGGAGATCGAGACCATCCTGGCTAACACGGTGAAACCCCGTCTCTGCTAAAAATACAAAAAATTAGCTGGGCGTGGTGGCGGACGCCTGTAAACCCAGCTACTCGGGAGGCTGAGGCAGGAGAATGGCGTGAACCCAGGAGGTGGAGCTTGCAGTGAGCCAAGATCACGCCACTGCACTCCAGCCTAGGCGACAGAGCAAGACTCTGTCTCAAAATAATAATAATAATAATAATAAAAAAATAAATAAACATCGTTTCTCCAGAAGCGTTATTCTATATAAAGCCATCTCTCCCTACACATACACACACACACGCACACACATACACATGCACACGTTACTCTCAATCCCATTACCCTGTTCTTTTCTTTTTAATGTACTTCATCATTCTCTGAAATCACCATGTGTTTACATGTTATATAGAATTTCTGTGAAAACAACAGCTACAGATCTAAACTAATCTTGAGCAAGTGACTCAAAAATCACAATCATCACTGCCATTGACGACGTGGTTTTCTGAAATGGAGAACAACTCTTAGTAAAGGTCCAAACAAAACAAACTACAAGTGACTCTCCATTCTTCATAGTTCATTCTTAAAAAAAAAACCACCACCACAGTAAAACCATATAAAAAGTACTTTGTGTTTACATGTAAATGAACTTTGGTTTAGTATCACATGTTTATAAACAAAATTTTCACCACAATTTATAATCAGTGGAACATCTGAATGTTGTGCTGGACACTGGACAGATGTTTGTTATGCAGGACTGTCCCAGAATGCATTGCAGAGCATCTAGCAAACCTGCCCCTGCCCATTAAATGCTGGTAGGGCTCCTCAATTGCTGTCACCACAAAGAAATTCTCCTACGTTTCCAAAACACCCCCTGGTGGGCAGTACTGCACACTGTAAAAGTCCGTCTGTCTATAGAAAGGGTACACTATCATGTACCTAAGAGTGTGTGTGAGAAAACAAATGAAGTCATCTAAATGGCTCTGCATTGTGCCTGGCAGATAATAAGTGCTTAATAAATATAAACTTATTTCATCCCTCCTTCTTTCTTTCATCTGGCCACAGGTTCTCAGTGTGACCAATAAGGAACATCTGTCATCAACCCTGGCCACAGGAAGGAAGGTACACTAAATATTTCAAGGAGTGAGGTGAGTAAATTAGGGAACGATAAACACACTTATCACCCCACTCCAAGAAAGGCCCACAGAATAACATGACAGTTATTCACACAGACTGTGGAACTGTTCTATTAAATACTGTATAGCAATTTGACTCAAGAGAACTACACTTACTTTTCAATATAACTCTATTCCCCCTCTGCTCTGAGATCAAATTTTAAGACTGAAAAAAAACCCAGGGTCAGGCTGGAGAACTATTCCTGGATAAGAATAGGCCATAACAGGACAGGAACCTGCTGCTCCACCTCTGAATGCTGGGCCATGTCTGGCCTGGCTTCATGCAGCAGCAGGTGGGAATGAAGGATTCCAAGGTGATCGACATCTCACACTAGAGGCTTTATACAGGCGGGTTCTTCTGTCCAGGATGCCTTCTCCCCTTCACTTCCTACTCTTTATTAACCTAGCCATCTCTTCTTCATTTTTAAAGTTTCAAGGTATATTGTCTCCTCTAGAAGAGTTTCCTTGGACATCCCCGCAGAACCGTCACTCCCTCTTCTGTGCATCCACAGGCCCTGTAACTTCTTCTACCATGGTATGTTCAATGTTGTGTGTTTTTGTGCTTGGTTAACTCCCCAGATGCTCTGCAAGAACTGTGTCTGGTTCATCTTTATATTCCTGACAATTAGCTCAGTACCCTGACACACAACAGAAGCCCAACAAAAGTTTACCTACCTCTCTCCCCAGCTTTGGCTCTTAGAATAAACACACCACAGAGTCGATGTCACAAAGATTGTTCACAGCACCATTATTCAGGCTATATATGGAGGTTCTCATTAATAAGGGTTTGTGGTCCAAAGAACAGTTTATTTAAAACAAAGGTGATGAGGTATAGGAAGAAGAAAGGAAGGAGAACAACAATTCTAACATAAAAACACAGGAAGCATTTCAAACTTAAAAAAAAAAAAAAAAAGGAGTGGGGACAATGGAGGAAGCTACGTCTCATACAAACTGCTGACCTCAATTGATTACTTACATCCAAACCTTACAAAATAGCATTTCAAGTCAGCACTTAAGCCAGTGTTATTAGATTTTCTTACAAAAAGTTAAAGCTACAAACTTCACATTTTTAAACTGTACATAGCAACAGCATTTAAGCTTTTTTTTTTTTTTCCAAGTTGGTCCGAGTGCAAGCTGGTAAAAGAGATTTTTTTCCAAACACAAACAAGAACATGTATTCCAAAGACAATGAATATAATACTGATGAAAACATAAACATAGTGCTTAAGAAAAGATGGGGTGAGGTGGAGATGTAGACTGGGCAGGAACAAATTTCTAGTAAATGAGGAGCTGCAATCTTTAGAGGCAATATGGTATGCTAGAAAGGACACTGGAATAAGAATCAGAAGACCTGGATTTGAATCCTGGCTCAGCCATATTCTAGCCACATGACCTTGAGCAATAGACTTTACCTCTCCAAGCCTCAATTTTCACATCTGTAAAATGAGGATAATAATACCTATATTTCCCAGCACTATTAAGTTTCTATAGATATAGGGCTATTCAGATTATCTACTTCTTTTTTTTATTGAGACAGGGTCTCATTCTGTCATGCAGGCTGGAGTGCAGTGGTGGGACCATGGCTCACTGCAGCCTCGACCTCCCTGGGCTCAGGTGATCCTTCCACCTCAGCCTCCTGACCAGCTGGGACTACAGGTGTGTGCCACATGCCCAACTAATTTTTTTTTTTTTTTTTTTTTTTTTTTGACTCCTGTTTCGTTGGGATTAGTGAGGTGTGCTACATGCCCCATTACTTTTTATTTTTTTTTTTTTTTTTTTTTTTTGTAGAGATGGGATTTCGCCATGTTGCTCAGGCTGGTATCTATTTCTTCTTGAATGAATTTTGGTACTTTTTTATTTTTCAAGGAATTTGTCTATTTTGTTGAAGTTGTTAAATTTATTAGCAAAAAATTATTCATAATATTCTATTGGCTTTTTAATACCCATAGGATGTATCATGATGTCACTTCTCTCATTCCTGATATTGAAAAGACTTACTGAGTTTTAAATGGTATAAATTTCTGCCATCTGGCAGGTGCTAAATGTTTCCTAGATCGAAATCTATAGTCTCAAGGAGTTAAGGCTACAATTCTCAAGTTGCTTCAGATGACTGGTTCTATTTATCAATACGTCTATCGATCCACTCATCCACTCATCCATGAATCCTCTCACCCTTCCTCTTCCCCGTCAAACATTCATCCATCCAATTGGTGGCTAGGGGAAAAGGACAAAAAAGAAAAAAAAAAGAAATTCAAAATTTCTACTTCAAAATTACTGATGGAGCAATTAAGATATTCTTAAAGAATTCTGAGATTTTTGGCCAGGCACGGTGGTTCACGCCTGTAATCCCAGCACTTTGGGAGTCCAAGGCAGGTGGATCACAAGGTCAGGAGTTCACGACCCACCTGGCTAATATGGTGAAACCCCGTCTCTACTAAAAATACAAAAATTAGCCAGGCGTGGTGGAGCAGCGCCTGTAGTCCCAGCTACTTGGGAGGCTGAGGCAGGAGAATCACTTGAACCCGGGTGATGGAGGTTGCAGTGAGCTGAGATGGCGCCACTGCACTCTAGCCTGGGCGACAGAGCAAGACTCCATCTCAAAAAAAAAAAAAAAAAAAAAAAAAAGAGAGAGTGATTTAATAGTTTTTTTTTTTTTTTTTTAAAAAAAAAAGACAGAATCAGGTCATTGTTCTTGAAAGCAGAGAACAAGCGAGGACCTCAAATTTCCCTGGAAGCTCAGAGTTGCAAATGCTCAAGCAATGACTGAAGCCCAAGGTTCAATGAAAGCAAGCTGATATATCTTAATTTAGTATTCAACAACAACAACAAAAAACTAGGACTTGCTCCTTTGCCTTTCTGTCACTAGAAAACAAATATACCTTGTCAGGAAATTTCTCTGATCCAAAACAAATTGACTTCTGGCCAAAAGGCTCCATCAAGCTGGTAAGCAATAGACTTTGTTGGATCAGCAAGCTGGGTGCACACATGCCTGAAACAAAACAAACTCCAGATCAAAGTTCATGACCCAAGAATGGTTATGGGGAAACTGAACTTTATTTTATTTGGATCTAGCTTAGGAAGGGAGAAAATGGGCTTTCTCCTCCTGTCTGGCCAAGTGCAAAGTTCTTTGTTTAAAAAAGAAAGAGAGGCCAGGAGCGGTGGCTCATGCCTATAATCCCAGCACTGTGGGAGGCCGAGGCGGGTGGATTACCTGAGGTCAGGAGTTCAAGACCAGCCTGACTGACATGGTGAAACCCCATCTCTACTACAAATACAAAAAAAAAAAAAAAATCTAGGCATGGTGACAAATGCTGTAATCCCAGCTACTCAGGAGGCTGAGGCAGGAGAATCACTTGAACCCAGGAGGTGGAGGTTGCAGTGAGCCGAGATCATGCCATTGTACTCCAGCCTGGGCGACAAGAGCGAAAATCTGTCTCAAAAAATAAAAAGAGAAGAGAGAGAGAGAGAGACAGAACTATTAATTCGCACAGCAAACGGTGCAAGGGTATGCATCATGGATGCTTTGGTTTTTAAGACTTACTTGGCAATCAGACTTAACTAATTCAGCTGTCTTTCCAACCTAAAAATGCCAGTTAGAGTTAGTCTATGCAAGAAAAGGTGGTCACTTTATTTTAAATAGGCTTGTGACTCTCCTTTTTTGTGTAAATATTGATCCCCTATAGTGATGCTATGAGTCCTGATTCTGCCATTTACTAGCTGCATGACCTTGGGAAGGAATCACTCTCTGAACTTATTTCTTCATCTACAAAATGGAGATAAAGTAGTTAAGTCATAGGGTTATTGTGAAGTTTAGAGCCTACCCAGCTCAGTGTCTGATATAATAATATGTGCTCAACAAATGGTAGCTGCCATTTATTATTCCAGCAAGATCCTCAAATTGTCCTCTGTTTTCAGTATCTGCCACATAGCTATTTCAGTGGCCAAACCCTGAAGACCAACAACTGCCTCTTGCATTTTTTAAAAACTTGCTTTAATTGCAAATAACAGAATCTGGCCAAAGAAGAGGCACATTCCCTGCCTTTCCATTGATTCCCAGGTTTCAGGAGCAAAAGCAATTATGGAGTCAAATTACAGTATCCTGAGGTGCAAGCCAGTCATGGCTCCCCATCTGAGGGAAAGAGGTAAAGTTGCAGGAAGATGGCTCTATGCTGTCTTTTGCAAAGCCCTCTGATTTGCTTCAGGCCCGAAACCTGCCTCCATGGGTGCTTGTCTGCTATATCTGGCAGATGTTGTGGAGCTCAAAGACTTGCTGAAACTGAATGATCTGGCTCGTCTAGGCAATCTTTTTACATCCAGGTCATACCTACTGAAGAGACAAGGCAAGAGCAAGTTCCTGTTAGCAAGATTCCCTGGAATAATTAACCAAGACTGACACAGGTCTCTTCCCCCAAAGAAGGGGCTGCATGGTTCGATGGCCTGGGAGTGAGGACCCTGAATTCTAGTCCGAGCTCTTATGCTAACTTGCTTTGTGATTTTGGCCATTTCCCTCTACACCTCAGTTTTCTGATCACCCGTACAAGAGGGTCAGACCAGATGATCTCTATAGTCCCTTCCAGCTCTGACATTCTGTGTGTTCAGTTCAGGTTGAGCCTCCTGGAGAACAAATCTTAGTCTAATATTCATTTATCCTTTCCAGGCTGCTTAGCAGTGAAAGAGAAAAGAAAACAGTCACATATTTGAATGTGGGTCACAAAAGCAGTCCTCTCTACCCCTGTGTGTAAGGAATGTGGAGCAAAATGCCACGTGTATGATTTTTACATGAACAATGAGAGCTTTGAAAATGCTTTTCCTTTATGGACTGAACACAGCCCCGTGTTTGCTGAGAGTTCCTGGTAGACCTATCCCCTCAGTGGATCATGTCTCCTCTTAAGGCACTGGGCAGTATCTGTGCTGTGACTTTAGGCAGTTGAGAGAGTGGAGATGGATGAAAGGCATTGAAAGAGCAAAGGCCAATTTGCAAAGAGGGTACCAGGCTTCTCCTGGGACTCAAAGAGTAAACACAAACTCTCAAAGCTTTCCCTTGGACATCACCAGTAGCTCCAGAAGCCAGTGATGACCACACAAGGCTGAAACCATGGTAAAAGAACTGTCCCAAACCTAATTTTTAAATGCAGCCCTGCAAAGGGGGAGGTTGGCTCCTGGGATTCAGTGACCCCCTAACAACCTCCCGGTGTCCTCTGCCCTCATGTTCCACAGTACCATAATCTTACAGAAGAGGCAAACTGTTTAAAACTGTACCTGTACAGAGATGCCACCACATTGAGTGGGGAATCTATTTATAATTTATATATATATATGCATATTTATATATATTTTAAAAGACTTCCAGAAAGAACAATTGAAAGCTATTGGGAGAAGAAAAACAAACAGACAATGTAAAACTTTCCCAGCTATCACTCAACTAGGAGTCTCTGTTCCTGGGGTTTAAAACTCTGAGTTAAAAGCGCCAATATAAATCCTTTGAAATAATATACCTGACCAATGTACATACACACATCAGGATGGCACGCTGGCTGTCAAGAGAGCCCTTCCCACTGGCGCACATTCCTGAGTTCACAAAGGTGCTGTGGAGAGTCGACAGAGTAGAAGTGCTGGCTAACAGATGTGAGGCAAGCCATCCAGAATTCATCCAAAGCCTGGGTGGAGCTGGGGCCCTCACAGCCTGGCCTTGCTCAAAAGTTTTGTTGCCGTCTCTTCTTAGCCTCAATGGCATCCAGGATGGGCTGCCGCTTGGACTGGTACTTCTGCCGGATCTCTTCAATCTCCTGCTCCATCATGGGGTCCAGGGCCAAGAGCCTCTTCTGAAGGTCCTCCACTGTCCAACTCTTAAGCTAGAAGAGAAGTGGAAAGTATCGTCACGACAAAGCTTATGTCGGTGGCAGAACAGTGGAGAAGCCCAGCCTTCCCCGGCACCCACAGGGAAGGGAGACAGGAGGAAGACACTGTGGTCAGATCACAGGTTGGGTGGTGGTGGTTGGAAAGTGACAATTCATTCCAAAGAAAGGCATACCTTGAAGCTTGCCTGAGATAATGTATCCCCGGGAGAGTTCTAAGTGCTAACCGCTTTGATTTAATGTGCCTTGACCAAGAACTTAGTGAATAAATACTCTTACCTCCCCTATCTTTTAAATTAATTAAATATAGATTCACTGTTAGGGCATTAACGGTAACTTGCTGTATGTGAAATAATGGTTGCCTCCCCATTTTTGTTCTGTCCACAAGATGAGCATCTATCTGGACAGCGCCTTTCCCACTTTCAGGATACACCATGGAAGATAGATGCTGACGAGGCGCAGATGCCATCCCCTAACCTTGCCTTCCCACACCCCCAATGTCTTGGCACTGCCCTATTATCATCACCAGCATTTACTTGAGGCTACTATATGCCAGGTAACACTCTAAGCCCCTTGGGAATACAGACGTAACCCTTGGGCAGGGGTTGGCGGTAAGGGTGGGTAATTGGAAAAACCTCAAACTTCTGAGATTAATTTCTATCATCCAGAGGGAAAAAAGGAGTTGATATATAAATTAATAATAATGGCTGGCATTTAGTGCTTTGTATGCACCAGACACTGAGTGCTTTACATATATGGATTCTTTTAATCCTCACAGCAACCCATGCTACGAGGACATTATTATCCAAATGTTACAGATGAACAGCCCAAGGAGGAGGGTAGCTAAGTAACCTGCCCAATGTCTCCCAACTAGTAAATGGCAGAGTCAAGACTCAAATCTGCCCGGGCGCGGTGGCTCAAGCCTGTAATCCCAGCACTTTGGGAGGCCAAGATGGGCGGATCACGAGGTCAGGAGATCAAGACCAGCCTGGCTAACACGGTGAAACCCCGTCTCTACTAAAAAAATACAAAAAACTAGCCGGGCGAGGTGGCGAGTGCCTATAGTCCCAGCTACTCGGGAGGCTGAGGCAGGAGAATGGCATAAACCCGGGAAGCGGAGCTCGCAGTGAGCTGAGATCCGGTCACTACACTCCAGCCTGGGCGACAGAGCGAGACTCCGTCTCAAAAAAAAAAAAAAAAAGACTCAAATCCAGGCAGCGTGGCTCTAGAGTCCATGCTCTTAACCAGTGTTGCAGAAGAGCAGACTAGCAAAGCACAGGCTTTAGAACTAACTCAACCTTTGTTTAAAACGTGGTTCTGCCTGTTGCAGATGCCATGAGACTCTGTCAAGTTACCAATCTCTCCAGGCCTTCCCCATCTACAGAAGTGGGACAGCAGTGCCTCATCACATGTATTGTAAGAATTAAAAGAAATCACAGCTGTAAAGTTCTCAGCACAGTACCTGGTAAACTATGTGTGTAAAGACAGCAATGGGTGTTATAAGCCTCTCTCTTCATAAAAGCCCATGGGTGCACCAGTGTTCAACCTGTGTCTGCAGCTGTGGGGCAAGGGGCTCTGCTGCCATGTGTGTGGAGTGTTCAATGATTCCAAGCCGGGCCAGTCTTGGCTGTCAGGGGTGGGAATGAATGCTGGCATTATCCACAGTGGGTGGTGATACTTTATTCTGTGTGCTCACAACCAGTTTAATAGGTACAGTGTTTCAAGAACTCAAAGTGTTACAAGAGGTCTGTTGTGCCCACATTTAGAAAATCATGATCCTTGGCCCCTTCCTGAGGTCTCCACAGGAAAGTAGTATAGGAGCTGGGTGAAGGGCCCTCTGTCTGTCTACCCTTCCTTGAGTGGGTGGAGTGAGGGCAAGTGTGAAGTGCTACAGTGGCCTCCCTAGAAATGGCCTGTCACCACAGGAATTTTCCTTGGCCTGCTTCAGGGAGGATGTCTGAGAAGTGAGAAAACCCTAATAGTTCAAGACGAAAGGTTCTTTGTAATGTGAGTATGGAAGACTTGAGAGTGTGGGTAAATGCTGGAAAGTTGGGCTGGAAAAAAAAAATGCATCTTTCCAGCCTGTGGTTTTATACTACCTTAGAGGTTGGTGTTCTTGGCCCAAGGACACTCCGAATAGCAATGCTTGCCTAGTCTTTGGCATTTTCAATTCCTTCTGCAAAGAGAGAATTCCCCAAGCCTACTACTGAATGTAACTGGTAGTTAAGAATGTAATCTTTGGGATCACAGGTCCTAAATCTATACTGGCTATGTAGCCTTAAACAGTAATTTCACATCCTGAGCCTCGGTTTCCTCCTTTGGAAAACAGACAATACTAGTTCGTTCCTCCACCCTGGTGCTGTACTAAGACTTACATGAGACAATGGTCTGATGGTCTTAGCTCAGAACTTCATATGGTATGTGTTGGGCAGATAGATATTCCATAAGTGGAAGTTATCACTGTTGTTATTGTTGCTATTCTTATTCGTATTATTATTGTATATATGATTGGTCTCTAATTAACCTTCCATAAAGAAGCTGTTTCTGTAACCTGTATTTCAAGCTAGAATCAAATGTGAAAAAGAAAATATTCTACTCTATTCTGTGCTAATGCCTAAGGGCTGGTACATAATACCTGTTAACTTACATACAGTTGAACAAAATATTTTTCACCCATCTATTTATAAATACTCATTGAACACCTACTATGGGTCAGGTGCTGTTCGAGGCACATAGGTTACTCTACTGAAAACAAACGAACAAACAAAAATCAGAGCCCTTGTGAAGCTTACATTTTAGTGAAGCAAGGAAAATAGCAATAAACACAGTAAATTAGTAAATTATTATCATATTAGAAGGTGCTCTGGAAAAAAAGAAAATAAAAAATAGTGTGAAAGAAGGGGAGCTGGGAATTAGGAGGGTAGACTTGCTTTTCATCTAGCCACTAGGATGAAGAGTAAATTGCAAAATGAAGAAATGTAAGTTAGTGGAGCTGCACCGACTTTGCAACTTGTTCTGCAACTTTGGGCAAGCCCCTTCTCCTCCTTAGACCTTAATTTCCCCATTTGTAAGACAGGGCTAACTAGATGATCTCAGAAGTCTTTCCAGACTCAATGTTTCTCAGTGTATGACCTATGGATCACCTGTATCAGAATCACTTGCGAAAAATACAGATTCCTAAGCCCCAACCCAAAGCTACTTAATCAGACTCCCTGGGAGGGGAAGCACAGGATTTTACATTTTGAAGAAGCTATTCACACTAGGCATGGTGGCTCATGCCTGAATCCCACTACTCTCGGAGACTTAGGTGGGAGGACTGCTTGAGCCCAGGAACTCCAGACCAGCCTGGGCAACACAGTGAGATCCCATCTCTATGGGGGAAAAAAAAAATTAGCCAGGTGTGGTGGTGCACACTTATAGTCCCAGCTACTTAGGAGGCTGAGATGGGAGGATCGCTTGAGCCCACTCCGAGGCTGCAGTGAGCTGTGACTGAGCCACTGCACTCCAGTCTGGGCAACAGAGCAAGACCTTGTCTCAAAAATAAATAAATAACAATAAAAATAAACAAAAATAAAGAAGCTATACAGGTATTTCTTATAAATCCTCAAGTTTGATAAACATGATTCTGTATCTTCCTTATTTTTCTGTTAGTAAAATTCTCAGAAAGTATTGCTGCCTGTCTCCGGTCTAAAGCTTCTCCTAGGTTTCCGATTTCCAGGCAGCTTTGTTGCCCTTGATTCTAATCTGGGGGCGACAAGTACCCTTGCTTTATCTCAGCCACCTTCAGACTAATTTATGGCTGTCCTAAGAACTTTGGGGCTTAAGTTACATCTGACCTATTAGAACACAGCCAGTCAGGCACTGCTGATGACTCAGTCATATCATCCAGATATGGATTTTTCCAAAAAACAAGCTCAGACAATAGTTTCATGGCGCCAAGTGTAGCATTTCACCTCCCTGGTCCTTGGTGGCATAAATATATTTCAAATGGATATCTTGCAGTAAAATAACTGTGGTGCTACAGTTCTGCTACCGCCAGAATCTTGAAGCAGCAAATTCTCAGTCCAGCCAGAGGTCTTTCCAGACTCAATGTTTCTCAGTATATGACCTATGGATCACCTGTATCAGAATCGTTTGCTAAAAATACAGATTCCTGAGCCCCAATCCAAAAACAGCTCAAGCAGCTTGAGCTGTTTTCACTAGGCATGGGAAATATCACCATTCAGTACCTCATCTATCCCACAGGATCTGGATATCCTCCATACGCCATACTCACACACCCAGATCAGCTCCTACTGGATATTTCAGTCCCTGATTATCTCGTGAAAATCTGTGATATGGTTTGGCTGTGTCCCCACCCAAATCTCATCTTGAATTATAGCTCCCACAATTCCAACATGTTATGGGAGGGACCCAGTGGGAAGTAATTAAACAGCATGGTCAGGTCTTTCCCATGCTATTCTAATGATAGTAAGTCTGACGAGATCTGATAGTTGTCTTTTTTTTTTTTTTTTTTTGAGACGGAGTCTGGCTGGGTCCCCCAGGCGAGTGCAGTGGCAAGATCTTGGCTCACTACAACCTCTGCCTCCTGGGTTCAAGTGATTCTCCTGCCTCAGCCTCCCAAGTAGCTGGGATTACAGGCACCTGCCACTGCGCCCGGCTAATTTTTATATTTTTAATAGCGACAGGGTTTCGCCATGTTGGCCAGGCTGGTCTCAAACTCCTGACCTCAGATGATCTGCCCACCTCAGCCTCCCAAAGTGCTGGGATTACAGGTGTGAGCCACCACGCTAATAGAATCTGCAGCTTAACACATCCAAAGCAAAACTCTTGAGTCACATCCCTTCCTCATCACCAAATCTTGTCTCCTTACTCCCCAGTCTTCCCCATCTCAGGAATGGTATCACCATCCTTCCATTTGCTCAAAATCATCCCCGATCCTTCCTTTTCCCTCACCCCCGCCTCCTGCCAACATCCAATCCTTTAGCAGCCCTATC